GCATATTAAAAGCAATATAAATATATATAAAAATGAAAACAAGATAAAAAATTTTAAAAAACTTTTTAAACATCTCTAAGTTTAATAAATATAGCATTTCTTATTGCTTAAAAGCCTGCCTGAAAATAAAAGGTCTTTGTCCGATAATGGAAGGACAATAGGGAGGGGGCCAGCCTGGCTTCTCAGGGCAGCTTCTCAGTACTTGGCTTTCCAAATTCTGTTTCACTGAGAAGGCCCTCCCACTCTCATTCACCAAACAAACTTGGGTAGGTGCTGGAACCAAGAGTAGGGCCTCCTTAGAAGATCTTAAAAGTCAAGAGGGCTCATATGGGTCAATATAATCCTTCCAATAGCCTGGACCCAAGCCATATAGGGCTTTATAGGTAATAATCAGCACTTTGAATTGGGACCAGAAACAGTCTGGTGGCCACTGAAGTTATTGTAATAAGGAACTAATATGCTTCCTATAATTTATTTATTTATTGAATTTATACCCTGCCCATCTAGTCAACTGTCTACTCTGGGCAGCTAACAACATATAAACAATTTAAAATAATAGAAACAAAGTAACACATCAATAGACAGTGCTCAAGATGGGGGGGGGAAAGTAAATCAAGTGGAGGGAAGACTTGCCTAAACAGCCAGGTTTTCAATTGGCTTTTGAAAATATCCAGTGAAGGGGCCAGCGCTAGTCAGTTGTCTAGATGCAGCGTTTTGAATGAGCTGAAATTTCCAAACACTCTTCAAAGGCAGCTCCAGATAGAGTACATTGTAGTAATCCAAATGGGATGTAACTAAGACATGTTTCAAGATAGGTGAAAGGGCCATCTGAACACACACACTCCCCTTGTTCAGTTCCAGGTGCAGGTCATCCACCAAGACAACCCAACACATCTCTGTTCCATGGCCAGGCCTGAAATCAGACTGAAATGGCTGGCTGGCTTTATTTGTTTGTTTGACTTTCATACTACCCATCTGGCTGCCAAGACCACTCTGGGAGGCTTACAA